ATTCACGAAGGAACAAGATACTTCTAGAAAATAGGTGGCGTCACACTAGTCACGTGACCTCGATGACGCAACAGTATCAATGAAAGATCAGTTTGATTTATATAGTCGGAAAAGAAACAAAGTGTAGTTCCAACCATTAACAGAAGATGATAAGTCTTGCATTCCGTCAGGTAAAAAAGACATTAGGCTTAGAAGTCACAGTGTTTACAGGCATAATCCAAAAAGAAACCACCGGAAAGATTTTTATTTTTTTTAGGGCTGGGGCTTTGTGAGAGTATAAGTTCAAATCTGTCCGTGAGGAAGCCTGGAACTTCATATTCAACCACAACACACTTAGTACTTGAAATCAAAGAAAATAACTAGAAAATAGAGAAACGCAAAGAATTAGCTATCTGCATTCTTGCTTAAAACAAATGTGTAATGACTGTGGAACAACTTTATAAAAGATGTATTTATGTAATAAGTTTCAAGAAGGTAAAACTATGAAAAATGACTTAAAACTATGAGGTATTTTAAAACTATAAAGCATGTCTTAATTATAAGTTATTATGGGGCATTTTAAAACCATAAAGCATGCATTAATTATAAGCTATTATGAGGCGTTTTAAAACCATAAAACATGCCTTAATTATAAGCTATTATGAGTCGTTTTAAAATCATAAAGCATGTCATAATTATAAGTTATTATGAGGCGGTTTAAAACCATAAAGCATGCCTTAATTATAAGTTATTATGAGACGTTTTAAAACTATAAAGCATGTCTTAATTATAAGTTATTATGGGGCATATTAAAACCATAAAGCATAAGTTATTGTTACGTCTCTGTTCGTTTGTTAATTTCCCGTAGAAATTCTTTCCGAGAAACTTCAGCGATACAAGTCCTTTCTTAAATAAAACTAGTTTATTCTTTCTCAATACAACTTTACAATACACTTAAACACATGCTATAATTCTCAACGAACGATTCACGCGCTTTATTTACAACCGCGCTGGACTCAATTGTCCGTCTATATCTTCAATTTCTCTGTCTGCTATACAATTTTCCATGCCGTCACTTTATTTGCCGGCTTATATTATAAGAACGCGAGTCTAGCAACCGCTAGGACGTTCGACAAGTTCCTCGATATTTCTTGATACTCATTACGTGTTACCAAAATCACGTGACCTCCGCTGTCGTAACACTATTATGAGACATTTTAAAACTATAAAGCATGCCTTAATTATAAGTTATTATGAGGCGTTTAAACCATAAAGCATGTCTTAATTATAAGTTATTATGAAGCATTTTAAAACCATAAAGCATGCCTTAATTATAAGTTATTATGAGTCGTTTTAAAATCATAAAACATGTCTTAATTATAAGTTATTATGAGGCGTTTTAAAACCATAAAGCATGCCTTAATTATAAGTTATTATGAGTCGTTTTAAAATCATAAACATGTCTTAATTATAAGTTATTATGAGGCGTTTTAAAACTATAAAGCATGTCTTAATTATAAGTTATTATGAGTCGTTTTAAAATCATAAAGCATGTCATAATTATAAGTTATTATGAAGCATTTTAAAACCATAAAGCATGCCTTAATTATAAGTTATTATGAGGCGTTTTAAAACCATAAAGCATGCCTTAATTATAAGTTATCATGTGGCATTTTAAAACCATAAAGCATGCCTTAATTATAAGTTATTATGAAGCGTTTTAAAACCATAAGGCATGCCTTAATTATAAGTTATTTCTACAAAAGCAGGACAACTCCCCCACCTTCCTTCATGTGCACACGTACAGTGAAAGCATTATCTTACAAAAGACCAACTAATCAATCAGTAACTTATTATTAACTAAATTTAGATACCTGTATTGATCAGAAGAAATATTTAATTTCATAACTAATATACCTAAATTAATATGTCGATGTACTATTAACATGTAAAGTCATGAAATAAAGATCTGTAGTGATTAGAATCATCAGTTGTATACTCTCGCTGTTGGCGACATTTTCGGCTGTAATCCCAACATTATGCAGTAAACATATCCTTCACACTAGTTAAAAGTTGGAATCTTCCTTTGCATCCCTTATTGCATTGAACCCTTAGTTAGTGTAGATTTTTATCATGACATAAACAACTTAAGTAAGTATGATCCAATTTTAGAAGTGTCTGTCTACACGAGAAACTAATAACAAAAGTAAAGAAATACATTCTTTATTTTATAATCAACAGTAAGTTTTTCGTAATGAGACTTCCAAATTGTATCCCCAAAATAGTCCCCCAGTGGGTCAGCGGTAAGTTTATGAACTTATATCTGGGTTCCCATTCCTCGTGGTGGAGAGATAGAATATAGTACAGCTTTATGGTAAAAAGCAATAAAATTATTTCATAATCTATATTCTTGGTAAATGTTAAAGATACATTACGAACTAATTAAAAACATAACAAGATTTAAAAGAAACAAAAACTAGACCCATTTCTTGCTATCTTAGTTCTGTAAAAACGCCTTTTAATTAATAAAAAACATTTTGAACATATGGAAACTAATTATCTAACTCGACCATTTAATTAATTAAAATAAACATTTTGAACATATGGAAACAAATCATCTAACTCGATCATACCCTAACATTGTGAACATATGGAAACAAATCATCTAACTCGATCATACCCTAACATTTTGAAAATATGGAAACTAATTATCTAACTCGACCATACCCTAACATTTTGAAAATATGGAAACTAATTATCTAACTCGACCATACCCTAACATTTCGAACACATGGAAACTAATTACCTAACTCGACCACACCCTAAAATTTTGAACACATGGAAACTAATTATCTAACTCGACCACACCCTAACATTTTGAACATACATAAACTAATTCTCTAACTCGACCATACCCTAACATTGTGAACACATGGAAACTAATTATCTAACTCGACCATACCCTAACATTGTGAACACATAGGAAACTAATTATCTAACTCGACCATACCCTAACATTGTGAACATATGGAAACTAATTATCTAACTCCACCATACCCTAACATTGTGAACACATGGAAACTAATTATCTAACTCGACCATACCCTAACATTTTGAACACATGGAAACTAATTACCTAGCTCGACCATACACTAACATTGTGAACATATGGAAACTAATTATCTAACTCGACCATACCATAACATTGTGAACATATGGAAACTAATTACCTAACTCGACCATACCCTAACATTGTGAACATATGGAAACTAATTATCTAACTCGACCATATTCTAACATTTTGAACATATGGAAACTAATTACCTAGCTCGACCATACACTAACATTGTGAACATATGGAAACTAATTATCTAACTCGACCATACCCTAACATTTTGAACACATGGAAACTAATTACCTAGCTCGACCATACACTAACATTGTGAACATATGGAAACTAATTACCTAACTCGACCATACCCTAACATTGTGAACATATGGAAACTAATTACCTAGCTCGACCATACACTCACATTGTGAACATATGGAAACTAATTACCTAATTCGACCATACACTAACATTGTGAACATATGGAAACTAATTATCTAACTCGACCATACCCTAACATTTTGAACACATGGAAACTAATTATCTAACTCGACCATACCATAACATTGTGAACACATGGAAACTAATTATCTAACTCGACCATACCATAACATTGTGAACACATGGAAACTAATTATCTAACTCGACCATACCATAACATTGTGAACACATGGAAACTAATTATCTAACTCGACCATACCCTTGGCGAAACTCGTTGAACCAAAAGACTTTCTTCGGAAAGGTTTTATGAATTTCTTCTCATGACTAACATGCTGCCGAGAAAAAACAACAAAACAAATCAACATTTATGTTAAATAGCATTTTTATATCTCAGCTCTTAGGTTTACAATATTCTTCAGTTGTACATAATGTGTTAATTAAAGTAATTAATAATCAAATAAACGAAAATGGTTTGAAAATTAACAATCTAAACGTTGTGAACAATAAACACGTATTGTTTTCCTTTTACATATACACTTTGATTGTTTGAAGTATAGGTTGATCTATAGTGTCTTTCAAGTGTTAGGTGCCCTCCCTCAGCCCCCCCCCCCACAAGTTTCTTCTGTTTGGATAACATTTGATTTGTAGCATTAAAACACTTTATTTCTCCGACAGTCTGTCTGTACGTCGTGCTTAACAACTGATCACACATATACCCGTCATTTAAGGTGAAACAGACGGAAATTAAAAAGAATTTCATTTCACCACTGCCTGGATACAGCGTTATTGTCGGGGTCTATGACTTAATAGCTTGCTGCAAATGAGATCACGTTATAAACGATTTAACCATTAAAAAAAAATAAAATTCCATCTACCAACCCACCTGGTTTACATGTTAACTCGGTATTCATAACGTGTTCTGAGTAGTGGTGTGGAATCTGGATTCTTTTTGATTGACGACTTTGATTAGTATGTTCAATTGCTATAACCTAAGTGAAATTATTGTGATTTATGCTACTAAACCACTAATTAAAATCTATCTATTAGTGTTAGTTCCGCGTTCCGATCTCCGTTACGCATGACGTTCATGCATCGTGAGAATCGTTTTTCTACTCTTTAATTAATAAGAGTTTTGAATGTAAATGTGTTTTAAATGTATATGTTAAATCTTTCATATCTTTATTGAAAATAGCGAAGTAGTTGAAAAGTTGAACCAAAATTTGGTGCGTACTAAGTTAGGGCCAATTAATTCGTAAAACTCATTCGTGAAATTTGTAAACATGATTAGAGAAACAATAAAATTGAAAGTATAATAAAATAAACATGAAACAAAATCTTGATGTGTTTTTTTTTTACAATGTTAATGTGAACTCCTTAAATAATATGCTAACACGCCTGCTTTATTAGCCAGTGAATAAAAACTTGATTATTAATTTAAACTCATGAACATGAAACAAAGTTTTGATTAGCAACAAAAAGACCGATTTTCATGAAAAAAAGAGGGTGGGAATCTACGAGTCTATCGAGTTATAACGTTCTAGAACAAGTTATATTGAGTTAGTAATGTTGTACAATGCTCAGAACATCAAACTTTTGTAAAAGCCTGTACACGTATATTAATAATGAGTGAATCTTCAACTGTTGCCTAGGTTGGATAACAGTAATCTCACATACCCTTTTGATTTCGTCAGCACTGGTCGAGAAGGGAAACCTTAATGCCAAACTGTTAAGTCGAGTCGCCTTTCGTCCACTGCCTCCCGATGCTTCACTGCCAAGACTCCCGAGGCTATAAGAGGTTCTTGGGCCTCCTGCTGGATCCCATGGGTAGTGGCTCTCGTCATGATCGTGTAGTTTGTACCACCGGGGCTGATCCTCTAGTATAGTTTCGTCTGAAACGTCCACCAGCGTTGCTGATTATTTTATATAGTCATTCAGAAAATCTAAGTCTCAGTTTGGGAGGGAAGTAATTTCCCGCTGCACCATTTATATAAACACAGATAACCACGTGGAACTCTTTAAATATTACACTTTCGGGTAACCTATTGTAACCCACACCATTGTTACATTCGTTGTTTGTAGGTTATCGTGGCATCTTAGTAAACTTCGTTTCCAATTCTAAGAAACAATGTAAAGCGGAATGAATATGTTTCACGTGACGCACAACTTAAGCCACACTTGTGGCGTGTCACAGTTGTGTGTCACAGACATAATGAAACACGAACAATAGAAATCTAAAAATAGCTAACCTGACAAATCCAAAACGATTTCACCCAGAAATTCGTTTGGCCGGTAAATATCATAGTTCCAGACACTGATTTCGAAGAACCTGTTGGGCAGATCTTCAGGAGGAACATCAGGATAGACCATGGTCTGCTTCCACTCTGGACTGCTGCATCTGGAGAAGTACCGGGTTCGCCTCAGGTTTTCCATGCTGAAAAAAGCAGATTAGAATGATTAGTAGCTTATCTACAATATAATTTTTACTCGAGCCACGTTAGGTCTTTAAAATAAACCTTTCTTTCGTTTTTTGTAGAGTATAAAAGTAAGGAATTGTGTATCTTCTTGAAAGTTTGTTTCTGAATTCATTTGTTTCCTATGAGGCTATCTATAGGGTGTCTCAAAAATAAGTTGCCACTGACGAAATTAACATAGTTTTTCTTGTTTCTAGGTGTATTTTTTAGATACTGTTACATACCATTGACACATGAAATGATATGGACTGAACATCTTCAAACTGCATTGATTTAAAGACTGAACATCCCAAGTATATTCTATATACACATAAAGCCTGTGGAAATGATAAACACGCTTCCTATTGGCAGTTTTCTGTAGTTGATTTCTTCACAATCTGTTATCTATAATTGTTTTCTTCACAATCTGTTTTCTATAGTTGGTATATACAATATGTATTTTATAGTTTCTTCACAATCTGTTTTATGTAGTTGTTTTTTTCACAATCTGTTTTCTATAGTTGATTTCTTCACAATCTGTTTTCTATAGTTGGTTTATACAATATGTATTTCATAGTTTCTTCACAATCTGTTTTATGTAGTTGTTTTCTTCACAATCTGTTTTCTATTGTCGGTTTATTCACAATATATTATCTATAGCTGATTTATTCACAATATATTATCTATAGCTGATTTATTCACAATCTGTTTTCTATAGTTGATTTCTTCCCCATCTGTTTTCTATACTTGATTTCTTCCCAATCTGTTTTCTTTAGTTGGTTTCTTCGCAATGTATTTCATATAGCTGATCTCTTCACATTCGATTTACAATAGCTGATTTATTCATCATCTGTTTTCTACAGTTGGTTTCTTCAACATCTGTTTGATATAGCTGGTGTCTTCATCATCTGTTTTTTATTGTTGGTTTATTCCAATATATTCTCTATAGCTGGTTTATTCAAAATTTGTTTTCTTTAGTTGGCTACTTCAAAATGTGTTTCATATAGCTGGTTTCTTCACAAACTGTTTTCTATAGTTGATTTTTTATTCCCATTCTGTTATGTATAGTTGGTTTCTTAACAATCTATTATCTATAATTGGTTTTTTTACCATCTGTTTTCAATGGCTGCTTTATTCACAATCTGTTTTCTATAAATAGTTTCTTCACAATCTGTTTTCCATAGTAGGTTTATTCACAATCTGTTATCTACAGTTGATTTCTTCACAATCTGTTTTCTATTGCTCGTATATTTACAATCTGTTTTCTTTAGTTGATTTTTTTCCGTATGTGTTATCTATAGTTGATTTTTTTCCGTATGTGTTATCTATAGTTGATTTCTTCACAATCTGTTTTCTATTGTTGGTTTATTCACAATATATTCTCTAATGCAGATTTATTTGCAATCTGTTTTCTTTCGTTGGTTTCTTCACAATCTGTTTTACATAGCTGTTTTTTTCCCCATCTGTTTTACATAGCTGGTTTCTTCACCATCTGTTTTACATAGCTGGTTTTTTCACCATCTGTTTTACATAGCTGGTTTCTTCACCATCTGTTTTTTGTTGTTGGTTTATTCACAATCTATTCTCTATAGCTGTTGTATTCACAATCTGTTTTATACAGGTGGTTTTTTCACAATGTATTTCATATAGCTGGTTTCTTCACAATCTGTTTTCTATAGTTGATTTATTCCGAATCTGTTATCTATAGGTAGTTTATTCACAATGTATTATATATAGCTGGTTTATTCACCATCTGTTTTGTATAGCTAGTTTATTCATAGTATATTCTCTATACCTGATGTATTAACAATCTGTTTTCTATAGTTGATATCTTCACAATCTATCCTCTGTAGTTTTTTTTCTTCACAATCTGTTATCTGCAATTGATTTTTTCACAATCTGTTTTCTATTGCTGGTATATTCACAATATGTTTAATATGATTGGTGTGTTCACCATCTTTTTCTAAAGGTCGTTTCTTCACAATTTGTTTTCTATAGTTGGTTTTTACACAATCTGTTTTTCTAGTTGATTTCTTCCCAGTCTATTTTCTGTAGTTGGTTTCTTCCCAATTTGTTTTCTATAGTTGAATTCTTCCCAATCTGTTTTCTATAGTTGATTTCTTCCCAGTCTATTTTCTGTAGTTGGTTTCTTCACAATCTGTTTTCTATAGTTGAATTCTTCCCAATCTGTTTTCTATAGTTGACTTCTTCCCAATCTGTTTTCTATAGTTGACTTTTTCCCAATCTGTTTTCTTTAGTTTGTTTCTTCGCAATGTATTTTATATAGTCATTTTCTTCATAATCTGTTTTTAATAGCTGATTTATTCACCGTATGTTTTCTATAGGTAGTTTCTTTAAAATCTGTTTTCCATAGTAGGTTTACTCACAATCTGTTTTCTATATTTGGTTTCTTTTTGTCATGAACTCTACAAATTCACGACATTTTTTGGTAAACAAGGTCACTGTGTGGTGAAACCCTCTTTTGTTATGGACTCACGAGATTCTTGGACAAGAAGATCCTTGTGTGTGTTAAAGAGTCAATGCTGCCTTGATGTCTGGAGTAACCTCCATATGTCCATATTGTCCTCTCAGACAGGCATGACTTGGTATGAGCCTGCCACTAGTTACGACTCAGTGTTACAACACTTTGGAGAGTTAGTATACTTGTTATCCTTTATGTTTACACTAGTTTAGTACACTTTTCAAGTTAAATTTTGAAAGCTAAGAAGTATAAAGAAACTTGGAACACACTCATAATTTGAGGTAAAGAGAGAATCCCAGAAATCTGAATCTAACTATGATTTTAACTTTACGAATAATTCAGAGTTGTTGGTACAAAAATAACTTACCTCCTGTCAGGTAAGAGGTAACACTTAACAAAAGGATCGGGCAGACCACTGTTGTCTCTAGCTGTCAGTAAGGCACGCGCTCGCAGTATTGTTATATAAAGAATGCTTTCTTTGGAGTCGTACCACACTTGAAGCTGAAGATATTAGAAACAATGTAATTGTTTAACTCATTGATAGTATCATAAATACTGTGTAACTAACTAAAAACCTGTAATTTAGTTCTAAAGTACAGTTTCAGTCAGCGATTTCTTCTCATATATATATATATTAAGTCGTCAAGAAATTAATTTCGCGTTTTGCAACACTTTCATTAACCACCCTCCAAAAACGTACATCACATATAATAGTTAAATGAACCGCCTAAACGTCACATTAGTGTAGCCTATATAATGTGTAAAGTTTAGTATACTTTAATCCCTTACAATGATGGCACACGACGAGACACACATTCTGTCATTGATGCTGTTTGAATAAAAGAAAGTAAACAACGCTTCTGGAACCACAAAAAATA